GAGTAAACGGGCGAAGAACATGATCCCTCCAGTATTCTACCAATGAGATGGTGAGTTTCCCTGGAGAACTACATGTAACAACAACGTTCGAGGCAGAAAAAAGTTTGCTTTTGATATCTAATAAAGGACATATCCTTTTATTATACAAGAAACATGAAGTCGGTCAAGTTACTGTCGCTCATCTTCCGCCTTGGCTCCATCAAGCAAAGAAAAACGGAATCGACGAGTTTTCCAGCAAGATATATCATTTTTTTTGAATAGTTTAAGAGTGCGTTGTCGCATTCTTTGACTTTACACGAACCAACGTAAAATTTTCACCCTCATATCAGGGTGTTCTAGTCGAGTAAAGTTCAAGTTTCAGGCCAACCTGGTCAGTATTTTAATTTTCTTCAGGCACATAGTCCTTCATCTTCCGTTTCACATCGGCTAAAAAGGAATCAGCAGATGCAATGATAGCATCAGAATTTTCTTCATGATGACGGGTCACTAGTGTCGTGAGTTTTTGCGAACAAATACGATGACAATCTTTGAAGACTCGCTGCTAATATTCAGATGCTTCAAATGTAAGAACAGAATCTTCAGCAGCTTTTTGAAGTGCCCATCGTTTCAGATCCCGATCGTGGACAGAGAGAAGAGCGTCTCGAAGTTCTTCAAAATTGTCATCAACAAAGTCATCGATAACCTGTATCTTCGCTCGGTTTTTACCACCTTGTTCAATGTAATGACGAGAGCAGGCAAGATATTGTCATGAGTAAAAGATGTGAACCGATGCTCTGTCGACTTTCACCTGTATTTTGTTCTGCCTTTCGAATCACGCTCATCGTAATAATCAATAACTTTTTTCATGTAGTTGAGACTGAAGTTCAGTTTAATCGGAGGCTTTTCAGCTTCCGCAGTCTCATCAAAGCTAGGATCAAGATTTTCATTTTCAGAAGCAGTACTTTCATTTTCAAAGTCACTAAATTCTTCGTCATCATCGTAATCAAGGGTCAAGTCTGAATCGATTTCGAACGATGCACACTTGCAAACATTGTCAATTACTTTTAACAATGAACTATTTATATCTTCCTCCCGTGAATTTGTTTGGGATCGTCAACGGTGTGGTTCTTCATTTTCAGTCTCCGATCAACTAAAAGCTTCGCAATTCTCACAAGACTAATCATTCTTCTGGTTACATAGTTGAGTGAAAAATAAAGTATCTTACTACGAAGACTCATGCGAACCGCGTGTATCACAACATACTGTTACTTATTACAATAACCATAACGCAGTCTCTATCATATGCGACAACAGAACGTGATGAAATGTGTGTAATACGCATTTTTTTCTATTTCTCACCGTCAAGCAGATGTATCTGTCACGATGTTTTGGTTTATGAAAACATTATTGTAAGCTAGATACATGAAGCAAAAGTCTGTGAACCTCATGATAATATGCTGATGATCAGAAAAATTTATCCGAAAAATTTTAGTTTGTAATACGTTTTCGTTCGTGGTATGATGCAGTGATATACGGTCAAAAACGCTGTATTACCTAAGAACTGGAAAATTCAATATCTCAAGACAAAAAGGCCATGGGGCCGAATCCTTCTAGGATTATTCTAGCCTAGAGGTCCTCTCGATATTCCCCAAACATGAGTTCAAAAGCGGTGAATCGTTTCGAACTATTCTCTCGGTAGTTGCTACTAGATACTGGATGCAAACTTAATGATTCTGCACTAATATCTACTAATTCGTGTTCTATGAACACCAATCATCATTCATCTTAGACACAATCGGATTGCATACCTCAGTCAGAATACAATCCAATCGGACCGGCACCTAATCGGCGATTGAGTCCTGGCCAGACTGTACAAGTGTTTACCTAAATTTAGTTAGTCAAAAAGGTCACGAAAAATTTATGGTGGAATCATCAATTTTGTGTCGTGAGCGGTCGGTCTTCAATTAAATGCAAACCACTTACCACTTACCGGTAAGTGGTAAGTGGTAAGTGGTGAAGATTACTATGCAAGAATACATAATCAATAATTAAAATAATTATTTATCAGTGCTATACCGATAATTTTTCGATGATTCAAACACTTACCACTTACCTGGTAAGTGGAAGTGATGGTAAGTGGTAAGTGTGACACCCCTAATACTTAGGTGAGGGTGAGTATGGGTGCGTATTCGTCTATCAGTAAATTGACTCTAGTTCCTTCAAAGACTTATGAAAACAGGATTTATTATATACCATTCGACGCGCCTTCAAAAGCTCTACAACATTGTATATTTGGTTTTTCATTTCTGAATAGGTTACCTTATCCGACAAGGCTCTTTAAAACCGTTCTACGAACTTTTGGTTTGCCCTAAGTATGTAATATTATAATTTGTATTCTTTTCATATTACATGTACATTTTTTTTGAAAATTCTGAACTGTCTTTCTTTTTGATTATATTATTAATTTAGTTTTGTATAATTTAATTGATAAGACAGATAAACTATAGTTCCCAATTAATTTTATTCATTGAAAGATAGATATTAATGAACATCTAAACATCAATTCGTACAGTTATTGTTCGATCACTGATGAATTCAAATGAATTGATATTTAAATAAATGTTTGATATTTTTTTATTTTCAAGCCAACATGTCGAACCAATTTGAAGTGGACATTTAAATGTAACTTGAATAGTACAAGCAAAAACAAGTGAACGTAAATCATCATAAACAATACGTTCATGTCGTCGACAAGATAAATTTTCCATTAACAGAAATTTTTCAAGATTATTATTATTATCATATTTAATTGATATATTTGCTTGTTGAATAATATCATTTATTTTTTTATTATATAATATTAAATCACTATTTGAATTATAATAAATAATTGTTTCAAAACCAAGTACAAGTTTTGTACCATTTTTTAAATTTGATTGATTATCAAATGAATAAAATTCTGTATGATTAAACCATTGAAATGAATGTATTGTTTCAATAATAATTATTCCAAGGCCATAACTTGTTGGATTACCTGCATATACATATATACCTGCTATATTTTCTACAGTTTGTTTTGATAATAATGTTCCATGACATTTATCATAGATATTTGATGGAATATTAGGATTAAGTTGATCTTCATATAGATAATTATCAACTCGTTTGTTTATATTTTGCTTAAATAGATGGCGATTTCGATGAGTTATATTATTTCGATCATCATATAAAGGAATTTCGATTTCATGATCCAAATGAATGATTTCAATATGTGGTTCTTGACTTATATTGTTGATTTCAGAAACTGCTTTAAGCCATACTATAGCTTGATCCACTGTTAACATGGATAGATCGGTTTCAGCTCCATGAATACAAACTTTAAAACTATGAAATGTCCAAAAGAGAAGAAAAATGACGAGTATCATCATGATATATTTCACAAAATAAATTGCTTTTTGCCATTTAATATGAAGCTTTTTTTGTTATTTAATACCTTAATCGACCTTATTAGTCTTGGAATTAAAAAAATATGATATTTTTCTTTTTCTTTTTCCATATTATACGTATTCTTCAGTTACAAAGAATCCTATAAAGCATATTGAATAAAATTCCAGAGTGAAAAATAAAATAAACGCATTTTGTTAAATCAAAATTTCAAACAAAAAAAAATAAGACCATCAAACATTATGTACATAGACATGACCAGACTCAAAAAAACAAATAGTATATGATGCAAAAATTATCATGTACAAATAAATATCGATGTTTTAAATCTTATTTAAAAAAAGTACACTCTGGAAAGAAAGCCTTCTTTTTGTTCTATCAATTCATAGAAAATGTTGTCTTGTTTCAAATCGTTCATATGTTATTTTTCTTACATATTCATGCACAAAAATGATGAACAAAGAAAGTGACATAACTATAAAATGAGTTCACACTAGAAATATGAGGAACTATGAGAAAAAAGTTTTTCGAGATTGGAACTGAAGTTTATAGTAAAATATTGCATGGTTTATAAAGCAAATTATCTCAACGAGTAAACAACTGAAACCAGATTTTTTCGATTTTTTTTTGTCGACTTTAGATAAAAATAAAAAAATCAGTGAAATCAAAAGCTTTACTTCTGTATAATTATTATGGTAGGTCTTCATTATCTAAAAGTACGAATCGTCTTCTTTTAACAAATACGTTCGAACTAAAGACATCAATTATAAGAAACATACTTCAAATCAAGGCACAAAATATTCAAAATCAAAATTTTTTGGCATCAGTGATTTTTTTTTTTATTTAAAATTGATAAAAAAGTCATCAATTTCCTCTTTAGGTTATCTTAAGAAATCATATGAATCAGAAAATAATTAAAGAGAGATTACCGAAAAAAAATGCTACCTATCGACTAAATAAATCAAATAACATGAGTAGTAGGAAATTATTTTAGATATGATACGAATAAATCCTGAAATAATTTCTCTAGATTAAAGGCCGAAAAAACTAAATCACTAAGACTACTAGAAAAAAATTGCTGGAATCGAATCCGAACTATTACCAAAAAAAAAAAAACTTAGTCTTTCATATATATAGTCTACACTTTTATAGAGAATTTACAATACAAAATAAGAAACTTGTCTATCTGTTCAATAAGAATGTATATTAATAAGAATGTTGTTCTATTCTTTTGAATTGTATATCATATAATTCTATTATATCTGCATAAGCGTAGTGATATTTATTTCATTGTAACTAATTTTTATTTTATAAGATCCTTTTCTTTTTATCAGCCTATATAATAAAAACGCAATTTTCTTTTATGAATATTTCTCTTTGTTCTAATATCATTTTGTTTATGAATGTGTAATGAAAAACAAACTTATATATAGTTCAAAAGCGAAGAAAATCTTCCTATCGAATCATTTCAAGAAACTTCTTTTCAGAAGTTGTTCAACGATGAATTATAAACATCGACTTTTTTTTTGTATTGAACGATTACTTTTGCATCGTATAGTATTTGTTGAAATAAAAATTTAATTTTCGTTTCGAGGTAATATTTTTGGTGGTGAACTCATTTCTATAACTTCTGTTATTGATGCAAGTGGTAAATATTCATCATTATTATTTTCGATTAAGCAATCATTATCAACATCCATGTCATTTAGAGTAGACTGAAATAGAAATAATAATAATAATAAACAAAAGAAAATATTAAGATAGATATGTTACTGATTGTGCTGAATATGGACTACTTGTATTTATTGAACCACTTGATATTGTCTCATGTCGAACAGATCCGTCGTATCCATTTAGACTTGTTATTTTGAATATTTTTCCATTAGCAACCTAGGATATATATTATTTATACTAATTATTAACATGAGATTGAATATTCTACTTGTTGATATTTAAGACTTTGTTGATATTTCCAACAACTATATACAAAAAAAATATTATAAAATAAAATAAAAATTTATTGAATTACTTACTAAAAGCCAATACCAAGAATAATGAATAAAATTAAGATTACAATAATTATAATGAAGATAAAATAATTTTGATTATAAAGAAAATCTTTAATGAAATAAAAAAAAATGTTCATTTTTCTTTTATGTAAATAAATTTATTTAATATCTTACTGAATTTACTCAACGTTTTAATTTCTTGACATTCTTCCATACCATCTGGATCAGTATAGGTTTGTCGACATTTCATACATACACGATAGACCGAATCAGATAGAAGTTTATCAATTATAATAGTATTTCGATTTGCTTCAACTATTGTCCATGTCTAAATAGGAAATTATTTTAAATAAAATGGTCGTTTTTTTATTATTATTATTGAATTTTAATTTTAATTTACTCGATTGATAGTTGAACCTAGTTTTGGTATAATACTTTTATCACAAAATGCTGCTGGAGATATAGATGCAAGTTTAATTTGAATTTCACTTGATGATATTGCTTGTAAAGTAAATTTTGGTGTTATTCGAAAAACTAAATGAATATATAATTTTAAATTAATTAATTTTATATGTTTGTCTGAATGGGATATTTTTTATTTTAACAAAAGAGAAAATGTTACTGATTTAGTAGAAATCAATATTTTATAGGAAAATAGTCAAAATAGGATTAATACAATGATTGTTATGTGAATGAAGTTTCAAAGAGTTCAAGTTCTTTATTGGAAGACAATTAGGATGTTTCTTTTCGATACTGCTAACGAGGAAACTAACTGAATTTTGTAGCTCGCTGTTTAAGCTTATATATGAGCTTATAAAGAAATCTCAGTAGGACTAGAAAAAGCTCAATAGGGCTCACGGTTCTTTGAAGCTATGTTATGATCATTTTACTGCATTTTTCGATCCATATTTAGATATTTACTGGAAAATCCAATGATTGAATTTGGACCGAAAATTTAGATCATAGATAAGTCTAATGATCTTTAGAATATCCTGAAAGTCTTTAACCGAAAACAAAGTTTTTTTTTGTCGAGATATTGAATTTCCAAGTAAACTCAATTTTCATGACTATTTTTTTAGAAATTCAAAATTTCATGATTTGTTTTTGTGTCAACAAGTCCCTAAAAAATGAGTCGAATATTAAGTAAAACAATCATAATTTAGATTAGAAGCTCATGACCAAGAACGCTTTTATGTCTTTCCTAGTCTTATTAAATATGAATTCAGACGATAGATCACAGTTCGGATAATTTTCTCGTTAGTATAAAACGATTCTTTTCCAACATACTTCAATTAGAAAAGAAATGTAATTTGAGAAATTGTTTACACAACATCAGAAGCTTTGCTTGAACAATCTTGACAAAAATTTGCGTAGTATTATATTTAGTTAGAAGAGATTCTTTATGTTATGCGAAGAAAATTTATGCATTTCTCACTGTTTCAAAAATTTTTTCTCTTGGGAAAGAGTCCTATTATCATCACAGCTTGATTTAAACTGAAACGTTCCACTCCGATTGATAGATTTTATTTTCGTTAAGAACAAGAAATAGTTAACAACGAGTACAAAAAGCATCTGTCGCTTATAGTAAAGTAACCTCAATTAAGAAATAAGTTATGAAAAATTTATTTTCAATAATTATAAACTTTCATTCTTATTGATGACTGTTGATTCTTAATGCTGATTTTTTAGACAGTCAATAAAGAACGAAATGTTCGCCACGGCTATTATTTAATACTTTCTCATTCGACAAAATCAATCAAAGCTTTTAAATTTATCTCTATTGTAAATATTTAAAAGCGAGCTGTATTTGTTTTTTTTTTCTCTCATACATCATATAGCCTATTGTTGTTTTTTATAAGCAGCACATGTTACCAATAAATCTATCAAATACATTTTTATTCACCATAAAAGATATCTTTCTTTTTTTTTTTGTATATATGACTTACTCGGTGTCATATCAAAATTATAAGATGAGACATTAAAATGAGGTAATATTGCTTTCATATGCATTCGAACTTTATCTGGAAATTCTCCATCTGCAGTTGGTCTCCATTTAAATGTTAAATATTCATTTGTACTTTCATTTTTTAAAAATTCAAAACGTGTTATATAAGCTAAATTATCATGACTAGTAAAATGAAAAACAAAACGAAAATATTTTTCATATGTTATCGTTCAGAACTTACGAATGACTGATTTCATTAAATTCAAATTTAGCTGGATAATCATTTTGAATAGCACGTGCTATAGTTGGTGCTCGAATCCGACATTTAATATATTGTTTATCATAGACTCGACATCGCTCGATGAGTTGAAGTACACCTGGCGCAGCTGAAAAAGACACTTTTTTGTTGTTTTCTTTTTATCGTGTATATATTCAAATAGAGAAAGAAAAGAAAGAAAATATATTATATATATATATTTATATTTATATGGTCATGTAAATGATATTAATATAAAAACAATGTTGTTGCTTTACCTTTGACAATAACATCAGCACGAGTGCCTTTAGTTTGTTCGCCATTAACATAACATAATAAATGAAAAATGCCAACGTAATTTTTTGCTTCAAGTCGAATATTAATTGTATTTTTGTTTAATTTATTAGTAGTTATTTTAATTTCATTGGATGAAATTATTTTTGATAAATTTACTTTTAATGGTTTCTCATTTGATTCATAATTTGTACAATTAAAATTAGTAGTACTTGTTGAATCTATGACAGCTAAACCAGGTTCTAGGGGAAAAAAAACAGAAATATATTCAAGGTTAATATGAAAAAAAAATATTTATACCTATTTCAATATTCGATAGGCGAGATTTCAATATCGGTGTTTGTGTGTAACACAAGTTTATTAAAGTGAATAAGATAAAAACAAATGTTAATCGGTATTGTCTCTGTTGAGTGTGTAACATTTTTTACAGTAAGAAAAGCAAACAAAAAATCGTCCGTCGTGTAGTACTCCTCACCTATTTCTTCGTGACTGAAAAGAAAAAAAAACTGAATATGTTTACTACTTTAACGCAATTTCTGCTGTGAAATAAGTGGAACGGACGCATTTTTTTAACAGGTAGAAAGATGTCTCTGTGAAAAGAAAAATATTATATATTGAAATGGATGAAAAATATATGAAAAGATAATATTAATGTGATAGATGACAAAATTGATTATGTTTAATCATGCTTGTTTATTTTCAATCAATAGAGTACCTATCAAGATTCATGTATATATTTACGCAAAAGCATGTTTCGCGTCAAAAATGCACCCGTAAATGTCAGACTGCTGAGCATAATTTTCGAATATTCGAAGAAATGGAAAGAAGAAAAAAGAAATATAAAAAATTTATTTCTTTTTGCTTGAATAAAGAACAACACCCAGATCAAAAATGTTTTTTTATGATGAGGCATGCATATCTTAACCGAGTCAGGTCAATTTCAAGGTAAAAAAATATGATAGTAGCTTCAATTTTTAAATACGAATAATGATTATACTAACATATTTAGTGTGTATGCAACAAAGTTTTCTTATGAGTAACTAAAAATTTTATTCAAACTATTTCACAAAGTCGATATCGGAAACTACTCTAAAACCATGGTCAGATAGATTTTTTTGTCATCTTCTGCTGCTTTTTATGATATCATATCTAATCTTAAATTATGCTAGTTTTTGTCATATGTGTTGTAGAAACAAAAGAGGTTACTAGTGTAAACTTTATAAAATGTGAAACATGAAAGACTAAATATAAGCAAGTACCAAAATCACCAACGAATCAGCATATGAAAATAAAAACAAATCAAAATACTATTATTCACAAAAAAACTTGATTTTGAATAAAAAGAAGCAAAATGAATATTTACTTTAAACTTTCCATACGTTCTGTTTAGTAGCATTGTGAATCACTTAGTCAAACAGAATGCATGTTTACTTATGAAAAATGCATTTCAAAGAAAAACATCTTGATTCTATTTGTTACGTCTCATAGAGTTTTGCTATGCTTCTGTCAAACACAAGTATATCTCTCACACTCATCAACTAATAAAATGATTTTCTCAGTACTTTTCTTTCAAGAAAGAAATGGAATATAAAATCCTGATGATTTTTTATTCGATTTCTTATATTAAATCGATATGTAAATCAATGGAGAGGCCGTTCGTAGCAGCTAAAACTTTTGCAGAACTTTTTCAAGGATTTTTTTTCTTTCTTTTTATTTTCAAGGTCTATTTAAATAAAAAAAGAGAAAAATACGCTCAAATTATGACCTTAGAGGTCGAAGACTAAAAATAAATTTCTATGTATTATTTTTTTGCCTTGACACCAACTAACATTTTCAACAATTGCATGCAGCAATCGTAATAGCAACAGCTCAATCGATTAGCTTAGTCTGCTATATACAAACCACTCGCTATGCATTGTTGTTTAAATTAAATCTGCGTCATTCAAATAAGGTTACTTTTTTTTTCTTTTCTTCATATTATAAAGAAAAGAGAAAAACTGCAGTTTTCTCTTAACTTAAAAGAAGAGTAGAAGTAAAACAAAACAAAAAGCTTATATTGATAGTTGAAAATTTCAAGACATCACACAGAATACAATAAAAAACATCACTATATAATAAATACAAGTTATTATTTTAGATTCTTGAATCAAAAATAAAGATAGCCGATCAGATGATATATTATTTTGTCTTGATTTTATCATTAATTTATCATTGTTATATCTTGTGGTATAATCTGGATAATGTATGTAATAATAAGAAAATATTTAAAATGTATATAAAGATACAAAAATTGAAAAGAATAACAATTTACTTTAGATGGACTCCAAATAGTATTATTAAGAGGTTTGAATAAAAGAGTATCTCGGTCATCGTTTATTTTTCCCTATAATAATGAAATAGTTTTCTAAATAAGTAATTTAATTCTTATAAACAAGAAAAAACTTACAGAACATTGCCTTTTTAGTTGCTGTTGTTATTTGATGCAATTACAATTACTTTTTATTTTTAATCTATGAAAAACTGAGATTAAGCATTAAGAGATAAATCTTTGAAATACTTACAATAAGAAGATAATAAAGAGTAAGAAATAAAGCATGATTATTATAATAATTATAATACTATTCATAGGCAAACTTAGATAAAAATTTTTATAAAAAAAATGCGCAAAAAACATAAAGAAGAACAGCACTTGGTGGCTTTAAAGTTCGATATTTATTACATTTCACATCGCTGATTGTATCTAACGGTGCATGATAACGACAATGAAAACATAGTCGGTACAAAGTATTAGGACGTAAATCAGTCGCATAAATAGTCTTTGATTAAAATCATTTAATGTTCTAATATGTTCTCTCTTGTATTAAAAAAAAAAAAGAAAGCAGAATCACAATTATAATTTTCAAAAGATAAACTTTGCTTGATTTGAACTTTGAAAATTTTCATCTATTGTTAAATTTCCTTGACAAAATATTAATGATGAAAATTTTTTTCGATTAAATTCAATTCACATATCAATAGAGGATATCATTTCAACAGTAAAATGCGATGATATTCGAAAAACTATTTTTGATCAAAAAGCAAAATACTTATCAATTGTTTTTCTTCTATTTCAAAATAAAACTCTTACTTGGTGTCATATTCGTTGTATAATTAGTTGTAACAAAATGAACTATTGTTCCATATATAACCATTTTTATACCTCATGGAAAATATCCAGCAACTTTTGGAAACCATCGAAAAGTCAGAGTTTCATTAATATTATCAATTTTGACTAATTCAGGTTGTTCTTGATACACTCTGGGTTGTAAACTAAATAAAAAAACAAAAAAAAAAAAGAATGAAAAATTTTACAAAAAAATCTATTAACTATAAACGACGTTCAATAAAAAGAAATTTATAAGTTAATCGATTATTCATTGCTTGTAGCATAATTGGTGCTCTAATGGCACAATCGATATATTCATCATAATATACAACACAACGGTCTACGCACATAAATAAACCAGGCGATTCTTTAGGATATAAAATGATCAAGAGAAATCTAATCCAATAAAATATATATATCTTACTGCCAATAATAATATCTGAACAAGTACCAATATCTATTCTTCTCGTTGATAAACAAATAAGATGAAATGCACCTATATAATTAAATAATTGCAAAATTATTTCAATAGCTGTATTATTCAATCTATTAGTAAATATTTGTATATATTGTGAAGAAATATTAGATGATAAAATAACATTCATGTCGATCTCTCTATGAGAAGACTGTTATTTATATAGTGGCGAGTTGGGCATATATGTATTTACTGCCAAAGAACAAAGTGACAAAAAAAAACAAAACAATTAAATACAATAAAAATAAAGTTAAAGATATTCTTTTATAGTCATTTTTGAGCACTTTAAACGCAGTTGTAAGTTGAGAGAATAAATTGGCACGATGGTGGAATAATAAAGAAAATGTTCACCAGCAGTGCTAACATTGTATAAATGAAGAGTCACAGCAGCGTCCAGCCTAAAATAAAAAAGTTGTACTGGACATGCCGTGGCGAATCGCCGATTGGGTCACGTACTTCAGCTTAAATATAAACGGAAAGAGATAGACCAGCTGTATGTGCCATGGTTTCAGGCCGTTGGGTCACAAGTACAGCTTAATCTACTCTACATGTTGAATGCAAAGACGTCCACCACGAGGAATTTGCCTTTTCGGCTTTGGTGTCACTTGACACAACTGTTGTGCCTTTTCGGCTTTGCTGCCACTTGCCACAGCTGTTGTGCCTTTTCGACTCTGGTGTGACTTGACACGACTAGTTTGCATTTTGTATGTTAAATTCACCTTTATTCGGGATAAACTATGTAGGATCTTCTATATACTATTTATAATGGGAAATGGGTGGGCGGGTATTGAAAAGTTAACTTGAATAAATGTTGAAGTTTTAACCAATTAAACAGGATTATATGAATAGCTTTTCACTGACTTAGAGCACGAGAAGATGATAATGAAATAACAACTTAGCTACACATGATAATGAACTTCCAGCTGAAACGAGCGCTATAATGAATAATAGAACAGATAATTAAAAAAAAAATAGTCGAGCCTACATGAATCTTCTTTAATGCCTCGTTATCTCGCCATTAAAGAGTTATCAAAATCACGATAATCATCTTTTTCTTTTGTACATATGAACTTTATTGTGCTAGTTGCATTTAATATTACAATTTTAGGTTTTATTACAAAAAAAAATGAATCGAATAATTCATTTGTTATCAAAATGATCATTTTAGCCTACTTATGTCTACACTTGAATTACTACAAACGCTCGATTCATATAGTATGAATATTAATAATAAAATAGTAATCAGCATTAATATTTGTATACATTAAAATGAATAAATAAATTCATTTTTCTTTTATTAATTTCACGTGTTATATATACACATTCCATAGAATGAAAAAATCCAACATCGAACAAATGTTCTTCGATTTATTGAATATTGACACAAGAAAAAACATGAGTAAATACTTCTGAAAATAAAAGAAGTATTTGTTTTTTCTTCTCTTGTAGAGTTTTGTCACTATGAAACATTATATGTTTCTATCCAATAGTACGACGATAAAAATTGAAAAAATAAATAACACAAGACAAACATCATACATTTATTCATCAAAAATTTCTGAACACCAGAGAATATGTTATAAGTGAAAGATAAACAATTGATTTTGAAAAAAAGAAGGAGTTATTGAGCGATGAAATCGGTCACTCTAGAAACTAAATTTGTTATTTCTTCGATAGTCAACTCAGCTGTCAGGGATCGATTATCGTTCGATTCACATTAGTGGAGTTTATTTTGCCTATGCGCAGCTACTTCAAAACTCGATATGATCAATCTTCTAAAGCACTCTGCTATGCAGTATTTATATGAAAAGTTTGGGTACCTTTTTTTCAGCTCCTTTAATTTGACTTGTATATCAAATGAAATCTCTTTCTTTCCTCTATCGAATAGTGTACATTAATATCTTACACAGATATAATTTTCCATACCAGAGCAGATCTGACCATCTTATATTTAGATCGAAACGAATCGACATTCGGTAGATACTTTCACAGCCATAATACAGTTTTCAAACTTTTACTTTATTGTTCAGTTTCTTCCATAAATAGCAATAAGAAGAAAGAGATGATCTAAAATTCTACAAAAAAACAAGTGAATCGAGTGACTACGGATTCACTTGGTGTATTTCTGCTTTGAAAATCCGATTAATTGCCTAAGTCTTTATAGGCTTGTTGCTGATGAGATTGAAATAGAACACAGTGTTGATGCCAAAACTTCATACTTGTGGATACATACACAAACGCTTTTTTTTCAATGACGATAATACACGTTCACCTTTTTGATGATGCATTTTCCTCTTCATATATTCAATCACTTCGTCATATGATTCCTCATCATCTGTAGATGACTTGTAATTAAAACCGAATTCTCTTAGTAAAACAGTATTGATTTTCACTCATATAATCTATTCCCAAGTACAATAACTTGTTCAATCACGATCGAACCGGTTTTTCATTCTCGTACTTTATATATACAATCATTTGAAGGTATAAAAATATATTGAAATAACCAGATCTTCTTAATTGCCAGGTATTCAATCCAGTTCCATAACATTAGCATACATAAGTATGACAAAATATTGTTCATCGACGTAACACTGTGATGGATCAGAGAACTGACGTTTTGAACGGAAATAAAAGTTGTTGAAAGATTTTGTATCACATATAGATTGATTCAGTTTTTTATGCTGATTTCAAGTATATCATTTCGTTCGATAGGCAGCTTTGCCATTCTGATCAAAGTTGATGAAATATTAGTAAAAAAAAACGGAAGGGGGGGGGGGGGAATTATTAGCACTCATGCAAATTGAACATTTGACTAAAGTGTCCTGCATACAAGCTTAACGTAACACAATAGTGTCATTTTGTAGAACTTAGAAAGATCTATCGAATAATGGTTAGTTCCATATGGACCGTTACTGTTACAGCTCAACAGGAGGGAAGTTTTGTCATGGATATTCTCACATTATACATAAAAAGAGAACCGTGCTATCTAAAAGAAAAGGAAAAGAACAATATTTTTATCCTAATCACATATGCCATTCAATAGAGAAAAGAAAGAGCTTTCATTTGGTATATACGCTAAATTAAAGAACTTGAGAAAGTAGATAAAGTTTCTATGTAAAAAACTGTATAAAGGAACACTGTAAGAAATTGATAATATAGTTTTGAAGCAACTGTGCACAGCGGGAATGAAAATAAATGATCTAATTTCAATAGCAATCTACTTGAGACGTCTAAAGGGACTAATGGAAAAATAGAGTAAAATTCAGTTTTGAGAAAGAACCAATGTCATTGGTTAACAAATTTCTCTCTATTATTATTATTATTATTGATCAGAAAAACATAAATCTATGAAAGGAAAAGAGAACTATAAATTTTCTTTAAACAAATATTTTCTCAAGTTTTATAAAATAGTTTTTTTCTATTTCTGATTTATAATTCTTCAATGAGAAACATAGAAAAATGTAGAAGATAGATTACGTTATGCAGTATGATAAATCGTAATGAATTGATCAGAAATTTTCCATATAAATCACTATACAAGAAGTTACAATACAACAATGAAAACTTCACTGTAATAACAAATTAAAACAGCTATAAACAAGTGAACATTTATGTATAAACGCTATGTATCTGATTAATAATAAAGTAAAAGAAAAACCTTGCTATCAAGTGTATTAACAATTCATCTTTTCTATTAAAAAAAAAGTAGTTTTTTGATTTTTAATTGATGTATTTATATTCGTTCTCTTTAATCATTGGAGTAGTATTTTTCAAAACGATTCTAAAGAATAAAGAAAGTATGTAGTGTAAAAAACTTATTATTTCTTTACCGGCGATGGCGATTTCAAAAGAATCACTAATAAAATCACGACATAAATAGAGACGTGATTTTATTCATATGCTAATAGTGTGGATACAACGACCAGATGTATTTTACTTTATGAAGAATAGTTTAATTTGTTCGATGACCATTAGAAGAAGCAAGAGACTGTAGCAATATAAAGTCGTACTTTTCTCCTTCAAAATGATAGTTTTGAGAAGACAAGTGTAGTCTATGTTTTTCTGATTTGATTAATACGATAAAAGAAAAGAAGATATGAACAAATACTTTTAACAGTAAATGTAATTTAGACATAAATTTTGAAAAAAAAAACAGTACCTCGTTAGTAACTAATTAATGATATAAGCAACGAATACATTTTATCAACGATAAATATTTTGTATAACTTCCAATGTGACACAATTTACGAAAAACAAAATATGCATGATATATGTCATTCTTCTCTTTACTTCCGGTTGGTCATTACAAGGTAGAGTCTATCGAGTAGGTACCGAATTCGCTCGAGTTCGAAAATTTTGGACCCGACGATCTTTAAACTTGTAAAACATTTTTGTCAATACAGATCATACAACACATCTTCGAAGTGTATTTTGCGTTGTTGATTTTTCATTACTCTGCCTTTGAAATAGAAGACTTACAAAATCATTCAGTTTCATAAAACATGTTGAAGAAATTGTTTCCATAGAAAAGTAGTAAAAATTTCAAGGAGCTACTATATGATATATTCGAACGATGATATCTATCAGAAGAACAAGTGCATTTTGAAAATTATAATAAGACTAGGAGAAGTCTTTGAAACTTTGATCTATTCATACCTTTATCATATTGACGAGATTAACACTTTATTTGCATGATTATTCTATCTGTATCTCTTCTGGAACTCTTCGAGGTTGAAATTATTAAAATATATCTGTATTTTTTTTCATATTCTTTTCAATACAGAAAGTATCAACAGAATATTCATCCTAAACTTCTATTTGTGTTTTTCTTTAGTCACAATGACAAAATAATTTTTTAAGAAAATAACAAGAACATTCTAATCATTGAACAATGACTCTTTTTCTAAATATGAATTATCAATATCAAAATGAATAAACAGAAGAAAATATTTCAAAATAACAATTAATATCCATTAGATTTTAAAATGTATTTGTGCTTTTGTTTTTACTTAAAAAGAAAACCGTTCTTTAAAACTTTTCTTTATATTATATATTAAAATAGAAAAAGAAAGAAAAATTATACTATTTTGACATATGTTACCAGTATAGATATGCTTATCATTGATATCTAGTTAAGATTCATAATCGTCATAAGTGTTTCTTGTCTTATATTTCTTTTGTAACCTAAAAATAAAATAAAGCAATATACACATATATGGATTCATATCAACATCAATATGATTTTTCAATTAATCAAGCAGTTAAAAAATGGCGAACATTAACTGCAAATGATGGTATTCTTCTTGAGCAAGAATTTAATGTTTGTTTTATTTATATATATATATATATATAGAATTAAATTTTTTATTAAAAAAATAATAAAAAAAACTTTTTCTCATTGTTGCTAGACTCTTCGAAAGACAGATCAAAAACGTATAACTATTGCAACAAATCCAATTAATAAATCTAAAAATCGCTATCCATTAATATATCCATGTAAAATAATAGAAATAGTTGTATTTAGAATTTATATTTATTATTTAAATTTAGATGACGAAGACTTCTGTCGAGTTTCTTTGAAGAAAAACATCGATAATCAATCAAATGATAATTCTGATTATATTAACGCATCTATTATACGTTGTATTCCACCAGTATGAAATAAAACAAAAATAAAAAAAAAAAACAACTTATTTCGAAATATTTAGTTCTTGATTTTTTATAGGATCGAATAAGTACAACATCTACTTCAAGAATCTTTTATGCAGCTCAAGGTTAACAGGGTTATTTTTGAAAATAAAAATTTCTTTCTTCTATTTCTAGGACCTATTGAACAAACAATTGATGATTTTATACAAATGATTGTTGAACAACAAATAACATTGATTGTTATGCTTTCATTTAGTTATGATCCGATAGGATGTACTTATGCAGTTAGTTAATTCTTTCATTTTCTTTTTGTCTTCTATATTCACGATACTTTCTTGAAAAAAACCAACAAAACATTAGCAAGAACATGCAGCATATTTTTCTGAAAAAGTCAATGGTGTTATTGAAACAAAATCTTATAAAATTCGTACAACAGCAATTATTCCATCATATCGTTATATTGGTCGACATTTACGTATTAAATCAAAGGTAAATTAAAATAAGATACTGAAATAGTTAAATATGTTTTATTTAGTTAACAGATTTTGTATACAATTGTGAACAATATCATTATCCTTATTTTGTTGATAAAAGTATACCAGTTGATTGTCATTCAATGATTGGACTAGTGATGAGATTACTTGAACCAAATAATCAAAATTGTCGTATACTTGTTCATTGCAGGTCAATATTAATCAAAACTATTTTTCTATTTGATAAATATATAGAATAAATTTTCAGTGCTGGTATTGGTCGAACAGGTGTATTTATTGCACTTTATTATTTAATTGAAGCTTTTCAATATGGTCGTATATTAAATGTTAAACAATTAGTTGATACAATTCGTCTCTATCGAGCACATCTTATTCAAACAGTTGTATGCAATATCTACATTTTCAATATTAGATATTTAGTAGATAGATTTCATTTAGGAACAATATGAATATATATATCGATGTTTAGCTGAAGTTGCTATTCATCCATGTGATGGTCGATCATTAGATAAATTTATTGAATATTGCAATAATCTATTACCAACAGCACGTTTACAAGATAGTACGATTTACTATGATTTTAAGGTAATGTTTCTGACACACGAACTAAAAGGAGTATTAAAGTAGTACACGAGATAGAAATCTGCACACACATTCACCCTTTCTTACAGACCATTGTACACACAATCGACAGATTGTGACAGACGTTTTTGATATATGATTAAAGACTGTATATCAATAATGTCTCGTTATATTAAATGTACTATTTCTTTGTTACATTTCTAGAGAGAATGATGAAGAAATGTGTCCCAAAATAGATAGAATAAAACAATCTTCTTATGCTTAGCAATAGCAACTACATCGTGTTTCATAATTTAATGCAACAGGAATTATGCTAACAACTTTGTTTTTTCATAATCAATATCTTAAAGAAAGTCATTTTATTGCTATGATTTTTTTATTATAGAATCGTACTAAGAGTATTCAACCAGACACATATTTAACAACAATTATTGCTCAACAACATTCGAATTATAATCGAAATGAAATATTTGTTCCTTGTAAAATTCGATTTTCTTCATTTTGACGAAAATTTTTCATTTATTTATTTAGATGATTATAATCGTGTTATACTTCATTCACCAAGTGAATCAACATATATAAATGCAACAAAAGTTACAGTAAGATTATTCTCTTGCTTTATTAAAACTTCTAATAAATTAATTAATAGAATATAATTAAACCAACTGGTACAATTTTAACTCAAGAACCAATGAAATCTACTTTACAACCATTCTTTTCTATGCTTCTACAAGAATATAAAAAATTTATTATTATTGTTGAACAGGTTGTCATTAGATAATAAATTAATTTCTTTTTAGTACTAATAATTCTGATTTTTTTAATTCTAGATGGAAAAATCAAATTATACAGAAACAGAATTTATTAGTCAAAATCAAATAAAAGTTAATATTTTATCTGTTCATCCATCAAAAAATACATTTGGTAATTATTATCGTTCACATAAGATAAAAGTAAAATATGTACGATAATGATAGATAAATAATTAAAGAAATTTTTAATTATATCGATACTTTTCTTTTTCTGTAGAGTAATATACGTGAATCTGATGTATTCATTTTTGAATATACTGGCGAATGGACTAATGATGGTACATATTTACCTAAGAATCTTGAACAATTTGTTCGTTTTGTTGATCGATCAATTCATCATCAACGTCATATTGATTCAACTCGACTTGGTCTTGTTGTTCATGATCGGTTAGTTCAAAATTTACTAATCAATATGTAGATATTTCACAACTAAAGATATGTGGAATCATGGTTTTTTTTGTTTTTGTTAATTTCGGTCCTTGTGATTTCAGTTTTTTCTATTGTCTGTCCTGGTTTAAAGAAAACTGTTCCCGAATCTATTAGTCTTACATCTAAAATAATTCTTCAATACTCATTTTCTTTTTTTATTTCTTTAGTCAACAATAGAAATATGCGAAACCAAAATGTTTTTGTTCAAATTTTGACCGAGTCCTGAAAACTTCTTTTCGAGCGATCTTAATTAAGTTTTTTGTTGTTTCTGATTCCATACAACTCCAGAGTTTTTAAAATCATACAAGAAAATCAGACGCAATTGTTCTTCAATAATTAAAGAGCATTGATAGATTTACAAACAGCGAATTTCATGAATAGAAATATGTAGAATGAAGCTATTTTTCAATCTCAATAAACTTGATTTGCATCTGCTGTTTCTTTTTCAATTTAGTGATGGTGGAACAAAAGCAGCATTCTATTGTATAGTACAAAATTTATTCGATCGTTTATTGATCGATGGACGTATAGCTATTGAAAATTTTGTTACTAATATTTGTCAACAACGAAAAAATGCTTTAATATCTTTCGTAAATATTTAATTAAATATTTTCCAATACTATATATTTAGTTTTTATTAGGAACAATATATTGCTCTTCATCAGATTGTCTGTATTTGGCATAATTTAAAACGTCGAGGAGCATTGGAATGTATTGTTAATATATAAGTTTAATATAAAACAATAACTAATCTTTAAAACTATCTATGTGTGTGTGTGTTTTTATTGAATTAAACACATGAAATATAAAAAGTCCACTATGACTACTAGCGTCTTCTTTCATATTGTTAGAAAAACTATTGGTTAGTTAAATTATTTTGAGGGAACAAAGACGAAAACAGAAATCAATAAAGAAAGAAAGAAGTCTTTTGATTCATAAGAAAACGAATGGCTGAACTTAAACGTTTATTTGTTTCATTAGAAAATGCTGAATTAGCTCGTGCTCAAATTGATGAAGAACATTCATCAATACTTAATCAATTACATGTACTTAGTGCACATAGCCATATGGTTAAAAATAAATATTTAACAACTATGAAAGATACATTTGCTGGTCAGTTTTAATGAAAAAATAAATATTATTTATTTCATAAATATTTTTCTAGCTAATCTATCTCGATATCGTGATGAAGATCTTCGTGTACGTAGTACTAATTTAATTAGTAAGTAGATTTTTATTTTAAACATAGATTTATAAAGTATTATTTTTATTTTTCCTAAAATAATATATTAGAAGAAAAAACAATTCAAGTTAAATGGCCAATAATTAATAATAATGAAAAACAAACTGAAAATCTTTTAATTTTACAACAAATAAAAAATTCTGATATTGAAAATGAAATTCCACCACCATTAATTATTAATAATAATCAAGCATGTTTAATTGATAATTTTGATTTAATTAAACAACGTTATTCATCATTAGCTGATTTTAATTTATCTCGTGGTAAGATTTTTCTTTTTTTGTTTTTATATTTTATTTTTCTATGAAACAATTTAAGATGGTAAACAATTACGAATTACATTCAAACCACATAATATATTTGTCGTATTCGAAGCAATTACAAATGGTCGATATGGACAAAGTTGGAAAAGTAAGATTATTATTTCGTTTTTTTAGTTGCTTAGGAAATGTCACAGAAAGGAATGAAACTATTTTAAATATCTCATTAGAGAAGTTCTCCAACTGATAAATCGTGTTTTTTTCAGTCGAGACTGTGAATTCTTATGTATTATAAATATTCTGAGAAGATTTTATATCCTTTGTTTGTTGCTGTGGAAGTATTATGCTTTTTATGGTATTTAAATAAAGGCTTTAATACTAGCCTATTTTTTATATCACTTATATTAAATCGATTGATCTGATGCTCATATGTCCACATAGGAACAAATTCAAAAGACTTACAACTTTTACAATACAGTATTCTTATTAAGGATTTTCTCTATGAAAAGTTTTAAGTCGAAAATCAATTTTTCTATTATCACATCACTCATTTAAAAAAAATCCGTGAAGTGCAGTATCTCTGTTAGAATAATCTATCGACACCAACTCATCTCAGACTAATTATAGCTCTTAAGAATTTAGATAAGTCTAGACTCAAAAGTAATTTATGAATTAGAGAATTTGTTTTGTCACAAAAAGTAATGTCTTAATGTCTTTTTTTTAGTTATTGATTCAATGCCTAGTCTACCATCATTTACTCAACTTAATACAATAATTCGACAAAGCAATAATCTTACAGCAGAACAATTATGTCTTATACGTGCATGTTTACTCAAACAACAAAACGCAAATTAATAATAATATAAAAATATTTTTCAATTGTATAGAGAAAATAAAATAAAGATCATAGCACGAATAAAAATATGATATAATTGTGATGTGAAAATAATATTAATTAAGAATTTTTGCATCTATAAAAGTTTTGAAATCTTGTTGATTCTGCTTAAATGGAAAATTTTCATGGAATTAACTATACATATATTTAAGTAATAGATTTATCGTTAATAATATTTTATTAAGATAATAGGAGAGATGTTTCCTCGGCTTTATTTGTATCGAATGTTTATCATTTGCCACAAATTGGTTCCCTAAATCACTCCCTAAAAAATTTCCACATTTGGGGATACTCAACCAATTAAGGGATATTTTGGTGACCAAGTAGGGATTTTTTTTATTTAGGGATTTTTCTATAATAATGTATACTATAATCTATTACTGTTCTAATACTCATATCATAATGTACATTGTTTCACACTAATATCATACATTTTCAAGCATAATTTCAGCTAGAGTTTAGTAAGAACAGCATCTATGCGATATAATTTACAATATTTTTATGTCGAAATAGTGCTATTACAAAGGTATTTGAACGCGTTCGGAGCATCATAATATAGCGTCATCGTGGTGTAAATGTATATTATCGATTAGTTTAACAATACTTTTTGTTATTATGCATTCTGCAAGCTTGTCATGTTTATAATATTATTACTAACATAATTTTTTAAAATCTTCATTATTATTTATTGCATGGTGCATTACTATGGTAAAAAATAACTTTCTGGTCACCAGAATATAGACTAAAAAGTCAACATTTTTATGGATTATTCCACCTCTGCGAAAAACTAGTGTAAAGCTTTTAATGTAGATTAACATATTCAACATAAATATTCCACTAGAATATATAGATTTATTGACTGCAATATATTACCTTCTATCAACAAACGTCATAAAGTCATGTTGTAGTAATGTTACATACATTCTGGTTATCAAATTCATAATAAATGTCATTAAAAATAGTTTCTAGTTTTTCTCTTCCGATAGATTTCACTATTTCATATCAGGTTGTATTGAAATAGATAAGTATAGACATCTATTACTTAAAAGTATTGGTTTCTGATTTGTATGCGTCACTATATTAGCTAACAGTGTCGTGGTATGCTTAAAAAATTTTGATTAAATATGTCTATCCCATTTAATTTGGAAATATTTACTCTTGTTGTTATAATGTCGTAACAGAAGTAGGGTACCATATATATCATATAAAAAAATCCCTAAATAAAAAAATCCCTAAGAAAATTTCCTACTTGGTCACCAAAATATACTTTAATTAGTTGAGTATCCCCAAATGTGGAAACTTTTTAGGGAGTGATTTAGGGAACCACAATTTGTGGCAAATGATAAACCTATCTTTTAAATATGTGTTATTATTCAACAAATTAAATGGAAAATCGTTATGCAGAAATAATCGAAGTTTCACCTATAAAAAAATGTTTTGAATGCATTAAAAAAAAGTTAAACGAGGGCAAATATTCAATACTATAGAATATCTAAAGAATGATATTGAAATTTCTTTATGTCAACATATAGTCGATCAAATATCTGCACGCTTTAAATTATTAATCAATCGCGAAGATAATCAAGTACATAGACTTGAACAATATTTCTTCTTATTTCACAAAGTTCTTTTCATTTAAAAATATTAATTATAACGAATCGGAAAAACTAATAAAATAATGCATGATATTATTGTTACAATTTCTCAAATATAGTAAAAATTTTAGATCTGAAAATGGTGCATTTAAAAACTACTTCAGAAGTTCTGAAATATTCTTTAGATTCTAATGACGACATAAACTAAAATTTAATTCTGACGAACTAAATAAACTATTTTCTTAGTAATGTAGAATTTATTATTAGACATTGCTAATGTACACTAATATTATTCTTATCTCTAATACAATAAACAATAATTAATTTATATAAACAACGTTTCTATTTTTAAAAGCCAATATTGTTATTCAGAACGAATCATATGATATCCGTATTACGACGATTTACGGTTATTGATGATTGTGGTTGTTTGATCTGGATATTTTTTTGATACTTTAAACAAAATATAAAATGAACTAAAATTTAATTTCGACAACAATTATTTTGACGACATTTCATTATTCACATTAAGAAAAGACTTGAATAAAAATACATCAAATTACATAGATTCATGCATTTCATAGAAATGCAATTTAAATACTCCTGAGAGCTTTCACATTAATATTTAATCTATCTTTCTGTTTATTAAATTCTAGATGAAAGGTAAACAGTATACTTGTCTACTTAAAAATGTATTTTCATAATTATTTAAAAATACCTTAATAATAAACTATATTGTTCTTCCATATTTGATACTATCATCATAGATATGCTTCCAAATTTTATATATTTCAAGACAAACTTCGTTTTAGTCTTCTATTCTAACATGACATTACATCTTAGCGACATCTAATACTGATTTAATATAATAATCAAAGGCAAGCATAAAATATACGTTTGATGTAGTATTACTAATGACCGTATCTTTTTTTTTATTAAAGACAAATATATATACATATAAATAGAGAACATTAATTGTCTATTGCATGAATTTGTTACAAAAAATTTGATCAAATATTTTATTAAATAACAACAATATTATACTACTTTCTTTCCTGCATTTTTATCAAGCAATTGCATGCCTTTACACTTTCATGAACAACGTTCTACGTTGTTGATTGAAAGCGTAAGAAGAGAAAGTAGCTTTTTTAAACCAATAGGAAAAAAGAGTCAGCGTGAGCACATATACATAAACCAAACTACTAAGTAGAAGTGCAAAAGAAAAAGAAAACCTAAAATACAAACAGAATAGAAAAATCTGGAAAGAAAAAGAGGAAAAATAATGTTAAGATGAAGAAAGAGAGAAAGAAAGAAAGGCAGAAGACAAAAAAGAAATAGCAATCATTCAAAGCACATATGACAGAACCAACAGCAATGCCGTCGAATGACGATGACGAACCACTTTTAAATACAACAATAGATAATTCGACGAATACTAATCGTCGATGTCCAACATGTCAAGGAACAGGTCAAGTAACAACAGCACCCGGTCTTGTTGCCTTAATTCCACTTGATGATGCTCGTCTTAAACGACGACCTATTATTTTATGGATTATATTAACAATTATTTTTTGTACAATTATTGCTTCAGCTGTTATTGTAACTATTCTTCCACGTTCTGTACATTTATCCATAAAAAATCCAATTATTATTGATGTTACAAATGATACATTTCGAAATACAACTTGTTTTCGTTTAACATTTATACATCAAACAAATATTCGATCAGATAATT